GGATTTATATTTTGAAGTCTGGAATGCTGGCACTTTCCCATTAGGCAACAGTTCTTCATTCCTATAATCTGGAATATTGAATAGATACAGATATACATACATCCATACATACATGTTTGGTTTTCTTTGGGTATCAGAAGGTATGCAGTAAGCAAGCAGATATCCAATAACATAGAAATGATGGTTTTAGGCTACATGTGCTGTTCAATGGTAAAATGACAGTTATGCCCGAGACCCTAGGTTTGATGGTATGTGCATGTGCCCTTAAACACACACATGCCCAAGAGGATCTCGATTAATCAATATACTAAACAATTACAGTAACAGGATTGCCTTAAATTTTCTTCAAAATGTTTTTAAAAATATAGAAGACTAAATTCATAGAAAGTCTGTAATTGATCAACTTTAGTTTATCCTGTTTTATTATACTTAGTGGTCCACATTATATCCAGCAGTGCTGTCTGTAAAAAGGAAGACATTTTGTTTCTATCCTATCAGCACCTTATTTATATAAGTTTCTTCTCTACTAAAGAATGACAACTGCATGAATAAATGTGCTGTGGGAACTCATTCAACCATTATGTTATATATATTAAAGATTACTACTTCTAATGCAGACTAAGGCAAGAACTGACAGACAGACAAAGCCTAGGGCAGACGAATGAATGAGTACTGTGGCTCAGCAAGAAAAAGAGGTCTCCCCGTAGCTCCCCTGTGGTCCTGGTAACTGAACCTGGTAGTGCTTTACCACTAGTTCTAGCACTGGTCCTGTTATTATTTTTATTTTGATACAGGGTACCAGTAAGTTGCCCAGCCTGGCCTTGATCTTGTGATCTTCTACTTCAGCCTCTTGAACAGGTGAGACTACAGGCATGTGCCACTATGTACAGCTAAGCCCTTTTGTTCTGGGAGCACTAGGGATCAAACCTAGGGCCTCTCACATGCTAGCCAAATACCCCACTACTGAATTACACGCCCAGACTCAAACCACGTATTTTGAATACTCATTCTGCAAAAAGAACCAGGGACAACGTGTGAGTGAATCAGGCAAGAGTCTCACCCTCAGACCTTAGGACTCTTATGGAAAGGGAATGCATCCTCCCAATGGGTCAGTATTCATGAGGTTTGTCACATGTACAAGTAAAGCTGGGAAGCTGGGGCCGGGGAAATGGCTCGGTAGAATAAGCGCTTGCCTGGCAAGCACAAGGGCCTGAGTTCAAAACCCCGGATCCACCAAGAAAAAAAAAAAAAAAAAATGCTGGGAAGTGATTAAAGTTGGAGAAAAACCCAAAGGAGGTGATGATGAGAAAGGCATCATACCTGGCTCAGAGCTGCTGCTGACTTCAGGTCTAGAGCAGCAGACATGATTTCTTTTTAGGCTTCTTCTTTTCCACTGGTGTTTTTCTATTTATTTGTCTGACCAGGTCATAAAATATCTAAATTAAAAACAAGAGAAAAGTACTTATACAACCAACATTTGAGACTTTGTTCCAAAAACCAGTTTCAGTTCTGTTAAATGTTATTCTACTCTAAGATCTATGATTTTGCTCTGTTTTGAGATCAGGTTTCTCCAAAGTCCCAGCTGACTTTCACTTAGGGTAAAACTGTACCTACCTATTTTGGAAGGATACTCACTGTTAGACTAAGAAAAGTAACTGGCATCCAAAAGCAAAAAAGCAAGACCAAAAATGAAAAAGCAACAAACCTGCCAGTGAAAAGTAATGTAGTGAAAACTCTGACTTACAGAAAAGTTGTAAGAACAGTACCAAAGGACTTCTGTACATTCTTCCTAGATCCACCACTTAGTAACATTTTGCCATTTTACTTTACTACTTTTTTCTCTCCATATACATATTTATTTTCTGCACACCACAGATCTCTTAATGGTTGAGTGTGTATTTCCTAAGAACAAGGATATTCTCTTATATAACCATATTACAGTTATCACATTCAAGACATGTATGTACTTTGTATTATCTACAGTGCAAATTTCAGTTTCATCATTTATCCCAAAAATGCCCTGAAAAGTAACTTCCCCCTTTAGAGACAGAATCCACCCAGGACCACACAACACACTTTGTTTCTTTCTTGACACTTTAGGTTTTTTTTTCAGGGCATTATCATATCTGAAAAATAAAGGCTAGAAGAGTTGTAGATTTCCTTCAATTTGAGTCTGCTGTTTCTTCGTGATAAGATTAATGTTACACATTTTGAGCTGGAATAACAAAACATTTTACGTCCCTCTTCAGGTATTGATCACATGCAGAAGCACAGGAGCCCTTTTTGGTGAGGTTAATTTTAATTAAAGGACAAAACAGAAAGTTTACTGATCCTTGATTTGAAGTAACTAATTAAACTATACATCTCAATTGTATGTTAATCTTGTGGACTCACTGCTAGATGCAAAATACTATACACAGTATCAAAGACAAAACTACAATGCTACTTATTTCACATTATTTTAGTTTTGATATTTATAATCAGTGTCACAGTGCTAAGTATGTCCAAGTGTTGAAATACGAAATAGACCGGGTGAATCTGGTTCTTTGCCATGAAACGGAAACACTGCTTGATGAGCCGGACTACAGTAACTCTTGACACACACTTATCTGGCATGAAGTCCCTCTTCGTACAGATGGATTTACAAACATGTACTGGTTTTAAGTAGCACTACAGGGACCAACTGGCAAAGTCTAAATAAATACCAAACATGAAGAATTATGTTGATCCTAATTTTATTTTTCTTTCTTTATTTTGCGGTGCTCGGCATTAAACCCAGGAACTTGTCCATGCTAAGAAAGTGCACTACCACTGCGTCACACCCCCACTTCATTTTTCCTGATTTTTAACAGTGTTTTGTTTGTGTAAGAGAATGTCTTTGACCCAAGGATACACATACTAAAATATTTAGTAGTAAAGAGGTGCAATTTCTGCAAATATATGGCAAAAATGTTAATAAATGGTAATCTACATGAAGATCAAATTTTTATTTTTCTTTAGTTCCTTTGAGTAAATTTTAGAGGTAAAGTATTTTTACATTATTGGCTTACATTAAGGTACTAAACTACATTTTTTAAGATGATCCATAATCATCTATTTTTTTACTACAGTGATTTATCCCAAAGCCATAACTCATCCACACGTTATATTCTCTTCTTTGTGGCTCATCCTCTCCACTCCCATCTTCTTGAAACCACTTAACTATTATCATATTTCTAAGAAAAGTTTAAAAATGGAATTTACAGACAAAATGGTAAATGCTAACTGATTTTACAATGACAGTCCGAGCTGTTTTACAACTAAGGACTTAATATGCAAAAGACACAAATGAGCTCTTATTTGTTCCTGAAGCTTAATCTATAAGCTATAACACAAGTAACAAAAAGGTAAGCCAGATAGCAAGGCAATCACACACACAGGTAGTTTCCATTCTAGTTTCTTTACGCCAGTTTCCAGTATGTACTACATAGAAAGGTAACTGATTTTTGTAGTAATATTCTAAATTACTTCTTTGGAAAGCGTTGCCTACCTCACAGCAGCAGATGTTCAGTGATGAGGGCAAGTGCGAGCTATAATATTGAGTTAGAAATGCTGCAAGTCCCCAGCCTAGGTTCTTCCTCATCTCTCTGAACTACAGAAAAATCTAAAGGGAACACAGAATAGAGTTTCTCAATCCCTCTCCCATGCCTAAATTGGGATGTCTTGATTCTAATTACTATTCCAGCTTCAGCAAAGAACAATTAATTCTTAAGACTGATGTGATCCTGGCATAGCTAGACACTTTCTTTTCCTCTTTTTCTTTTTCTTCTTCTTCTTCTTCTTTTTTTTTTTGCGGAACTGGGGATTGAACTCAGGCCCTTCCAGCGAAGCGCTTATTCCACTGAGCCATCTCCCCGGCCCCACTACTTTCATAACATAACAAAAGTGGTGTGAATTAAAGTTGAAGAAAAAAAAGAGAATTAGAGGGCTCTGGCCAAACAGTAATCCTTTTCTGTTTTCAAATTTGAAGGAAGAGTTGAATCATGTGAAAGGATTATCCCCTATCCTTAGGCATTTAGAAATTACACAAACATTTTGACCAGGTAGCTTAGGCTGCCTGATGAACTACCGAAGGCTGGATCATTAGGCTACAAAGACAGAAATCTTAAAAACAAACAAGCAAAACAAGAAAACCACTCCTCAAATTACCTTCTCAAGAATGTATATTTTCTTAAAATGGCTAGTGCATTTTATTGTCTTCCCTGTTTGCTTTATAAACTCACCTGTCAAGGGCTGGCTTTGAAAAGACTGTTTTAAGAAGTATTGCTACATAGACTATAACCCAAAAAAAGGCTCAGGTGAAAAAGAAAAAAAAGAAGAAGATTTAGGTGCATGTAGGTTCCCATAAACATGTAACACTTCAAGATGCTACAACGCAGGCTTGCCTGTTGGTCCCTGGCCAACTCAGCCCCAAGGGACTTGCTGAACTTAGGGGTGAGCACTAGTTAGGTTGAGGACATGGACAGTAGGGAAAGCCTACAGGTGACCGTGTATCAGTGTTCCACCAGCCAAAGGGCAATCATCAATCCTAAAGTGTTCTTAATCAAAGTTACCTTTTTTAAAGAAAAGACTGTACTAACAATTAACAATTTTATCATGGGCAGTTTTCAAAATAACCCGTAGGAAACCATAATTCTACAACAGAGAAACTTGCAGCTGGATGCATATTATTTCCTTTCATTATTTGGAAGTGAATAAGAAAAACTGTCAATCTCAGCATATTTATTCATCCACTAGGATATAACCAAGTTATCTTTCTTTTAAATTTTGAGAAGGTCTCATTAATCACTAAGTTGCCCTGGCTAGGCTTGAACTTGCAGTTTTCCTGTCTTGCTCCCCCAGGATGCTGGCATTTTGGTGTACACCACATGCCCAGTTGGACATAACCCTCTTAAGGGCAGAACAGTGCCTGTCCAGATGACTGTTACCTGAATGGGTGACATGATGCCAGGTAAACAGCAGGTACTTCAATATATATTTGCTGAATATGTGAATTTATGAATTTCCTGCTTTTAATATACTTGTTAAAAATGATTTTGCCTAAAAAAACCCAAGCTCTTGAATTTTTAACTATTTATAAGAAACAAGGAATTTTTAGTAAGTTAAAAAATATATATATTTTTTTCTGCCAGGTAAAATAATTTGGCCATTTTAAAAGTCAGAGTATAGCCCACAAGTATAATATCAAAGAGAAGGGACTCAGAACCACAGACCAGAGAATAGCAAGGAGAAACACAGGATTCTGATAATCAAGCCTGCTTACTTATTCTTTAAATTAATCTGTGGGCTGGGGAGATGGCTCAGTGGAATAAGCGCTTCCCTGGCAAGCGCAAGGGCCTGAGTTCAATCCCTGGTTCCACAAAAAAAAAAAATTCCAGCAACATTTAAAAAAAAAAAAAAAAAATTAATCTGGGTTCTGACTGATGACTTGTGATGCTAAAAATGGCAAGCACACAGGCATGACAAAGGAAAGAAACCTATTTTATTTGGTTTTGAAAGGTGTATGATAAAGTTAGCAAAAGCAAAGGGAATCTGTAAAGTTTTTGCTTGATTGGTGGGGGAAGCCAGAAGTGCACTAATTCTTTAGGGGCTCAATAAATTTGTAGCCCTTTACCCTCAGAATGCAATTTGCTTCCAGCCCAGGTTATGTCATGAGAAAGTGTGGGGCAAAATTCAGACAGAAAAGAGCCCTCTGCACCTCTGTATGAAGCCCAAGGACCAGGAGAACTCCAGTTGCTCGTCTAGTCTCACACCGATTCCTTACGTTCAGGACTGCACCGAACGTAAGGCGACACTCAGAAGCCACATTCCGGGATATCCCTGGAGGTACAAACATCTTTCTGTGTAACAACTGTCTACTCTAATAACTACTTCAATTTTTGCATTTTCCTACCTGACTTGACAACCTATTTATATGCATCTAGATAGATAACTGCTATGACATAAAGGTGCTGTGATATTTTCACACACCACTTTCTGGCGCATCCTTTAAGGGTTTAGCAGGGCTTTATATTCTTTAACTTCCTCTTTGACAATAAGGTAAATTTCAATGTTCTCATTAGAGCTATTGAAGCGATTTTATAGAGGCTAAGGAATACTCAGTGTTTTTTATCACATGATGGAATAAAGAGTACTTTGATATTTTTTGTTTAAAAAATCTATTAATTTAAAATGAAGAAACTAAAACCCACTTGTTTGTGCTGCTCAGCAATGTAAGTTACCTCATTAACATTGATCTTTGACTTTGCAGAAGATTCTAAAAAGGCACAGTTACACCACTGTCTTGCTAAATTCTGGCCCTGTTCTTTGCCAACTACTCGCTCATCTTCCAGGTCACATTTATTGCCAACCAAAATCATTGGAACCTGCAAGAAGGAAAAACATAAAATATATAATAACTGTTAACTTAGAGTGTTACAAATAAGCAACTAACTGCCATCAACTGAAATGCATTTGTTAGAACTGTAAGCTTCACCAAATGCTTCGAAAGTAAGGGGGGGGGAGTGGATTACATATCTATGTGTATTTGGGAAGAGCAGAAAGGAGGGAGAGCAGAGAACAAAAATGATGGGAAGAGAGCCCACCAGATTCATATGCCAAATTATTTTAAGATATAATCTAAATGCTCTGTTGTGCACTTACTACAAATAGTTGAATTCCAGGTAGAAAAAAGTCTGAAGGCAAAGGGATGTCCTGCAACACATCAGTGTGACACACTCACTGGGGCTAAATGGTTTAAGTGCTTCATCTCTTAGGTGTAAGAAATGCTAAGGCAGCAGTAAGATCCACACAGTAAAATTTGGAGGTCAGAGCTAGACCTCCAGACTAGGTAAAATATTTAAGGGGCATTAGTATAAAAAGATAGCCACACAACAACCATGTCTTCCTTTTTCTCTATGTCACAAATGCTTGGCTACATCCATCTAAAACACTCCCAGTAAAGCAATCAGCTCACAAATGGGATTAACTTCCTCAGCTAAACTTTCCTCAGAGGGAAGGCCATTTGTGAGGTGATGGACACCATACAAGAAAAAAAATAATTAAGAGACTCGGCAGTCCTTCTACCTAAAAAAGGTAACTATCCGAAGTTACATTACATGCACTAGGCACCTGCACCTCCATCTTCCATCCTTTACTACATGGAACAAAAGGGTTAACATTATCAAAGCTCAGAGCTCTGCACATAATGGCCTATGAAGACACAACACTCGTGGCTGAACGAGGCACGGGGAGGAGGAGGAAAGCCATTCATTAAGTTACCTGCTGTTATTAGTCATATTACCAAGGTTAACTGATGTGAATGCTCCCACTGATAATGAGAGGCAACACACAGAAACTGAAAGGGACAAATAAAAATGTATAACCTAATTTATACAACTAAAAAAGAATTCTCTGTAACTCAAATCTGAGATAAATATATAAGTTCTAATTTACAAGTAAATATGTATAATTTTAATTTTTGCAGGGGAAAAGACACTAAAAACAAAATGCTATTTATCAAATAAGAATATATCTTTCAAGCAAAATTAAATTT